ATGTTAACTAATGAGCCGATGCCTTTTATAAATGTTGGGTTGCTGTTGAATGTCTGTTTTACGAGCATGTCAGTGTGTTTGTTATGCTACTCGGCATTTTAATTGAAAATCTCCTGATCCCTCTCCCTTGCTAAGATCCAAAACTGCAGTGTAACATGCTTTAACCTAAGGAAATGAATATTTAGCTTTATAAAAGTGAAAATACAGAAGGTAAGGGTGGGGGCAGGCTGCAGGGGAGAATGGGGGGGCAGCTATAGGTATGGAGAGACAGCTCGGAGGGGGCATGTGGCAAGAGAGGCAAGAGGGGGGTAGTCATAGGCAGAGGGGTATAGGGAGGGGTCTGGTTCTTCCTGTACACCACTGTTTTCTCTGTCACAGAACTGGGGGGGATGAATTTAAGATGCCCTTCCACTAATTAGATTCTATACATGGAAAATTATAACACATTTATAATTTTCCATGTATAGAATGTAATTATTGTGGGGGCAGGTATCATATTCAAAGTCATCTTGGATTGGTGTAAATATGATAGTGTATGGTCAGAGCAGCAAACTTTTATGAAACAGCATTTTGTAGCTTCCTGGATCTGTTGCTTCTCCAGTGCCTTGGGTAGGCAGGCTTCATTAATTACCTTCTATTTAAAACTCACTTTCCCTGCAGCAGTTCCATCTGAATACATATTTTTTACTTGCTTAAACTCTTGTGTATCTAGTAACTATAAAATGCACAGGGTTTTTCTGCCTTGTCATCACCCTGGTGTATGGATGAAAGTAACTGCTGTGTAATAAAGTGGGGAAATACTTTTCCATTCTTTTTCTATGCCAATATAGGACTTGATATGATGAGATTGGGCAGTGGGTCCTAAGGGTTCACTGCCTCTGGAAATGTGTTTAATCTTCTGCAATATTCTTTTCTTTCACAGTGGGTGATCCCAGAATTGATTGGCCATACTGTTGTAACAGTATTAATGCTTATTTCTTTGCACTGGTTCATCTTCCTCCTTAATTTCCCTGTAGCAACCTGGAATATATATCGGTGAGTGCAAATCCATTTTTGGTCATTTATTTTAGAATGTTAATATATTTAGAATATAGTTTTAAGATAAATGGTACCTATTTACATTTTCATTTACAGCCCTCAGTTGGTTTTGCAAATCTAACCTTTTTTTTTTTTAATTAACCCTTCTGGTACTTTCAGCTGAAACTACAACACATGTTGAGAACTTGAGAATCTTTAGTCTCTGGGTTTGTTGTAACATTGTTAATGGCTGGATACCCTGATATTGTGAGAGGACAGGTTTATTTTGGTGCTACCTTAATTGGGCCAACTATATGGTTGAGAGAGATGTTAGCCAAGTTGTTGGTGTTTGGAAATGGTAGCAGATTGTTGGGGTTGGGAGATAGCACTGAAAACACCATTGCCAGGGTTTTTCCCTGGTTATGACTGATCATGTCTTTCCTGGCCATTCATTTGTTGGCATCACTTTTTTCTTGTTTTAAAAATTTACCTAGACCAGGTCTAAGTGCAGTTCTTGTACAGCTGTCTTGTAGAAGTTTAAAGCAATGCATTTCCCATTCTGCTTGGGATAGCATACTTGCTTTCTGGAATTTTTACACCAGCATAAGTTTCTAGACCAGTTTCTAAACCACAGTAACTATGGCAGGACAATGCTGCATAAACGGTATTACCAACCCTACCGTACCAAAAATCATGAGACGAACTCTTAAATCAAGATATTGGCATGTAAATCATGAGTTGCTATTTTTGAAATGTGGGGGGGGTGTTATTTGTGAAGGTGTGGAGGGCTGTAGATGTGTGTGTAGGGTTTGGAGCCTGGTGAAGGAGGGTCCCCACACACCCTGGCAGGATACAGGATGCTGAGAGTCAGGAGTGAGAGGCAGCAGCTGGGCCGGGGAGGCTATGGCTTTGGAGTGAGGAGAGGAGACGCAGACATCTGGTAAGCAGAGTGGAAGGGTCGGGGGGAGGGGGAAGGGTGCGGGGGTGCAGATTGAGGCCCCCACAGTGAGGGAGGGAGTGGGGCAGGAACAGGGGTTGGGGTGAATGGGTCCCTGGGGCTGGGGCGGGTCACCCAGAGGTGCAGGGAGAGGTGTGGCTCCCCACAGCGCCACACTCCCTGGTGGGAGGCATTGGAGCATGTGCCTCCCGCAGGGCAGAGGCGAGCTGCCTGCTGCGGGCAGGGGCTCTGCGTCCTGCTGATTTTTGACCCAGGAGGTCAGCCATGCAACACCAGTGTGCTTCCTGCTTGTGGGCGGGCAGGGGATGCGCTGTGCAGCCAATGCGCTCTGCATTCTCTGCCAGCTCGGCAAAAGCAGCAGGATGCTCTGCTTGGGAGGTGGGGCGGGGCGTGGAAACATACGTGTCCCCCATGCCTCCCTTGGAGGGTGTGCACAGTTGTGGGAAGTCATGCCTCCGCCCCATGCCTCTGGACAACTCCCCTCAGACCTGGGGCTCTATTTACCCTTGCTCCTGCTCCAGCTCCCTCCCTCACCGTGGGGGCCTTGATTTCCTCCCCCCCACTTCCTTCCACAGGCTTACCAGCTGGGAAAATCCACAGATCTGAGGGTTCAGTCAGGAGATCGTGAGTCAGAGTTATTTTGACTTAGAAATCCCCAGTCTCGTGATGGTTTTATGACAGTTGGCATTACTGCATAAATGAGCCCCAAGATGCTACATCCGTGGGAAGATCTGGAATTTTGAAAACGGGGTACAGATGGAGAGGTGCACCATCACATAGAAAACAACACACATTTTTTCTCCAGTTAATAAACTAGAAGCTGTACTAATATGCTAGGGGCCCAGGGCCGTATTATTTCATTTAAGATTGAAGCAAAAGCAAATATAACTTCATTGAAATGAATTTAAAAATATTTGCAGAACTGTGAAGTAGGAGCTTCCTTACTTGGAGCAGTTAACAAGGTAGCAGAATTGCAGAACAAAGGCCAGCTTGATTGATGGTGGATTATCAAGAAGGTTAAAAAAAAAAAGAGGGTCACTAACACCTGGGAAATGAAGAGTTTTAAAGGGATCATGGCTCAGAGTCAGTTGACTCCCTCAGCACTGCTTGACTTAAAATGCTGGTGCCATTGCCAGGCTTTAAACTTTGGGTGGAGCAGGAATCAAAGGAGGGTGCAAGTGCACCAGTGCACCCCCAGATCCCCGCCCTTAGCTACAACTTACCTTTTTGCTCCCTTCACGTGTACTATTCATTCTCAACTTTGTTTAGCACAACATGGAGGACACAGCCTTCCAATTCATGCACATCAGGCTGTGAAACAGATGAGTGGAAATTGTGGCCAACCACCGTAGGTAGTGCCTATAATTTTTAGTGCACTGGTCAAGAGACATGGCACTTGTCACTCAGTTCTGTAGCATTGCCCCTGACTCTCTTTCCCTGTGCCTGCAGGGTATGGGGGCTATCTGTCTGCAGAGGTCAGGATGGCTATTGATTAACTCAAGCAAGCAGTTCCCAGTTGTCATGACTCATGAGAGAGAAGTTGCAGCAATCCTACTTGTGAGATTCCCATTTATTTTTAGACTGAATACGTTGCAACCTGTTGCTGACCTTTGCTTCTAATGAACTACCGGCCAAGCCTTTGAGCATCTTGCAGGTTGAGTAGCTTAAGATAATATAATATGCATTAGATTGAGTGTGTCAAATATATGGTTTATGGGCTGGATGGGTTTTGGACCAACCCGCATGTGGTATGCAGAGCTGGTCTGGCATGCTTGCTGGACCCTGCAGTGCAGGTGTTGCTTGCAGCACAGGGGGTTGGTCTGGGATGTGAGCTGCACATGGTGCCTGCGTTGGACCAGCCTTGCACACTGGCCCTGGGGCTGGTCTGGATCAGGCCACCTGATTCAGCAGGGTATCGTGTGCAGTGCGCACCCATGGCAGTCTCTTGTGGTGTGAGCTGCACTGGGTCCAGCACTTCGACCATGTGCCGACCCTACTCTGGGGCTTTTGCTGCCTGCAGTGCACGATCATTACCTGGTGCCATAGCACAGAGGATCAGCACAGGATGCATGCTCCATGCAGTGTGCTTCCAGACAGCCCTGTGCATTGGCTGTAGTTTGCCTGGACAGCCTGGGGTCCAATCCTGACCACCCTGGAGCGAGCACACATGTAGTGCACACCCCATACTAGACCCCCGAGCCATGGACAGTGCTCAAGGCACTGGGTCTAGCCCATGCAACCCTTCAGCATGAGTCCCAGAGTGGGGACGGCACAGGGTGCGTGCTGCACATGGCACCCACCAGTCCAGTCCTGCCCACTGGCTCTGGCATGTCTAGATCCAGCCTGCAGACCAGCCTAGAGACCCTTGGGGCTAGATGTGTTTGACATGCCTGGTTTAGATGAAAAAAAGGAGTGTGTTATGTGGTAGGGTTCCATGAAGTTTCTGTATGAAGCAAAGGATTGAAATGTATCTAATTTATCTTTGTAACTGTGAACTGTAAATTGAAGATCTAGGGTTTGTTGGGTTGGACTCTTTACAAAAAGGCTTCACTTTGCTTACAAGACTTTCTAGGAGTTCATCACGGTCCTAGAAATTTTTTCTATACATCTCCCTTTCTACTCCCTTGAGCATAACTAGTACAAAAGCCTCTGGCAGAGAAGAGCTGCAGACAGTCATTGCTTATGTTGGCCAGAGGGGAGCACTAGAGAACAGTGCATCTCCCATTTGCACCCTTGCAAAAAACAATTCTCAGAAGCCATTTTAAATTGACTGTTTTGTAACCTGGTAGTCACCCAGGAGCAATAGACATTCTGGCCACCCAAACAGATGGGCTTTCCCTCTCTCTCCACTACCTTTTTAGACTTATAATGCATATTACAAAATGAATGCACCAATACAGCAGTTCACATCTCCTAGCACTACATTCACGATTATAAATCTGTACTTCTAATACTGCCTTCCTTCTGAGGATCTAGAAGTGTTTTAGAAATGCTCATTAACTTTGCCTCACAAAATATCTGTCATGTTGGTAACTAACCCAAATTATAGCTTAAGAAAATGGGATGCAGTCCAGTTACTCTGTGAGTGTGACCTAACTAGGGACAGGACACAGATATGGTCTGAGCTTTTGGTTGTGTGTACAAGTATTTTATCCAGATGAGTAAAAGACAGTGCAGTCGCAAATTATGTAAGGGAGAGTTGTGGAAAGGTCCCCGCCACTAACAGTTTAATATTAACACATTAGAGGGTCATAGGGCTGGAAGGGACCTCACAAGGTCATCTTTTAGTATGAACCCTAAACTGTTAACATCAGACAGGTGGATCCAAATTTTGCATCAGAGATGTCTTGCATACCCCCAGGAGTACATGGACCACAGTTTGGGAACCCCTGTTCTAAACAACAGAACATAGGTCCTCCACTAATTAGCTTTCTCAGTTTAAGTAAGAGATTCTGTACATTGAATAGTTTACATAGTTTCTAATTGAAACTAATTTTCCAATGGTTTTAGCTGCCCCTTCCCACCTCATTTCTTTCTTCTGCAGGTTTCCTCCATAAAGTTAGGTAACCACAGGCAGCAGTAGAACTGGTGCAAAATTGTTTGTTACCACCATTTTAAATGTCACCAGTTTTCCCACGTCCAAATATTGTCTGATGGATTTTGGGGATGTAGCAGCTAGGTTATGGGCAGTATACCGAGACTGTTACGAGAAGGGAGATTGCTGGGTTTGTACCCAAGTACAAAACAACTCTTAAAACGGGGAGCAGTTTGGTTGGTTCCATTCTTTGGCTACCTCGAGATTAGATCAAATAACAAGGCCAGCATTTTGATGGTTGTCATTTTTGTTTTGTTTTTTAACCTTTCAGGTACATCATGGTGCCAAGCGGGAACATGGGGGTGTTTGACCCTACAGAGATCCATAATCGAGGGCAACTGAAATCACATATGAAGGAAGCCATGATTAAGTTAGGCTTTCACCTGCTTTGTTTCTTCATGTACCTTTACAGGTTAGACTTGAATTTTGCTGCCTAGGGACAAAGAAATGTCATACCAACAATTTCTGTCTTCTGTGTCCTCCTCACATCACTGTTAATATTCACAGCAGTTCATCCTTTATAAGTTCTTTCCCCAGGTAATGTTTTGTGGCAGCTGATTCCAAGTTAATCATACCTTTGGTGAAATTATTTCTTTCTGTCAGTCTTGCATTTGTTTCCTTACAACAGTGGGGACACTGTTTTTGGCAGGCATACCACAGATTAACTGTGCGCCCTCCCCAAGTGCCACTCTGATCCATTTTCTTTGCCTTATCTGCTGCTCTGCTTTCTGTACCCTGCCAGTCTCGTCCTCTGCTTTCTGCTTTATTGGTTGCTGTGCTGTGCTGTCTCTTCCTCTGTCTTCTGGGTGGCTCACACAGTAGCCGCCTGTTGCACTTGTTCTGCAGGTTGGCCACCCCGCCTTACAATTTCATGTGAGAGTGAATACAATACAAGTGCCTGGCTGCTTTTTCTAAACCAGGATGTGGTGGCTCATTCCAAGTCTAGGCAAGAAGAAGAGTAGTTTTATATTTCCAGTGCAAGAAAATAAGTTGCATTCTTCCAAATACAAATGCCCATTAACTGCAGCTGTCTGTGTCCAATAAAAGTGATCAATGCAGACGCTTACTTTTCCTTGTATTTAAAGGGAGGTAACTACCCAAAGACTAAATAAGGTCTCTGGTGTCTTGCCTATGACTTGTGATGCCCCTTCAGGGGGTTTTGTTTGTTTGCGGGGGGTTGTTTTTTCTTTTCAAGAAAAAATTTAAATCTGATTTAATTTTCATCACACATGCAGTGTGTTTTCTTTATACTTATTATTTCATCATAGTTGAAACGGTACTGCTCAGTGTCTCTTCAGTTTCTTTTTTTAACTATTTTTTCCCCAAAAGTGCACTGAAAATAGTGTTCCCTCCTATGGAGGCATTCTGTTTATCTTAACTTTTGTTTTTTTCGTTATCTTTTTTAATAGAAAATGCTTTTTAGAATATGCATGTAATGGCTAAAATTGCTAAATGTCTTTCTAAGTCATGTTATCACACACAGGGGAGGATTTGCAGTAACTGAATGTGCTTACCTTAAGATAAAAGCCTGGTTGCATCTACATACTTTAAGAGGAATGGGGGTTGTTTTGTTTCGGGTTGTGGGTTGGAGTTTGAACATTCATAGGGCTTGGAAACTCAAGCTAAGTTCCTGTCTGTAATCCTTTATAAGAAAGAAAATATTATAGAGGGTTAAGTGGATATATCATACAATAAAAAGTAGTTGTTATTGTATGTCCAGAACAGGAGCTGTTCTGAAAATCATATTAATTTTAATGGCTGCATCTCCATAATATAAATTTTACCACATAGCCTCCTGCTAGTTTTAGGATGGAGTGCTCTGTCTCTGTAGATCTTGCCTTTGGAACAAATGTGAATGTAACTGTGATCTCTCTTTCATTTAAGTAAATGAGCTTCAGCTATCTATCTGAATTGTGAGAATCTTTTAGATTTGAATATGTGATAACACCTTGATCTCACCTTTTCTGTCTTGCTACAGTATGATCCTGGCTTTGATAAATGACTGAGGAGCTGAAGGGGGAACCATTAGTTGCCAAATTTTGAATCATCACTCCTGTGACCAGTTATGGAGCCAGAGACACCTTCCAAGCATACCTAGACCAGTGTTGTCATGCACTATATTTTTTCCTCTTTGAACAAGAAATATTTTTGCTGTATTTTTAACATAAAATACTTAAAAAAAAAAAAAAAAAAAAAAAAAAAAAATAACACTGAGGTTTTTGTAGCAGTTGATTATTGTTTCTTTCATACCAGACCCCAAGCAGTTACCAGTTTCGTCTGTTGGGTCATGTTGTTAAATATGGACTAGTCTCTAGTAAAGAGACTAATTTTGTAAAGAAAAGAAAATAGGACAAGTGATTTGGTTTAGCAGATCTGCACTTTAGCTAACTCTCTATGAAGGGCAGTTCCAGGCTAATATTTAAGTGCAGGTCTAATGCGTTTGCTAATTAATAAAGCACTTCTCTAAGTGCCTCAGAGTATCAGGCTGTTTGAAGGCGTGTTTTGGAGGTGCGTCTTCCAGGCTGAGTTCAATAGCAGTTTTGCATTCCTACCTATCTTACCTGCCTGAAGTTACTCAGTGGCAAGTGTCCCTGGCAAAAATTACCCTTGTCTATACAATAGTACACAAGGTAAATTTTTTTTCTTGATGCAGGTAATAATTGACTTTCCCTTTATCTTTGTGCAGTGCAGTGTGGAGGCTGACATACAGAGACTTCATTCAGGAATAAATACCATGTTCCATCTGAGGATAGGCAGTGGCAGTGAAACAAAACAGTCTTTGGGTCCATTTATCCAGGAACCTGCTGTTCCAATTTCAAGCAGGTGAATCAAAAATAAAGGCTTAGAAGAAATGGTACCTGATATGTCAAGAAAACCTGCAGAACTGTTACCACAGGGAGGGTAGTGACAAGGTTTGACTTCATGTTTACTTATTTTCCCTAAGCTGTTCTCTCAACATGTAGCCGAGTCTGAGCTTGTTAATGTGGGTTCTGATTTTCAGGTCAGTTGGGTGAGTGTTTTTCTTATGGATCTGCTAAAGCAAGATGCTGTTTACAGAAGCTCGTGCTCTCTGATTCATTTAGTCTATAAAACGTGAATTCATAGATTGTAACGCTAGAAGGGACCTTGGAAGATCATCGGGTTCAGCCCTCTGCACCAAGCAGGAAAGATAACTGGGGGTCAGGTGACCCCAGCAAGGTGACTGTTTAGTCTCCTCTTGAAGATTTCCAGGGTAGGTGATTGCACCACCTCTGGAGGGAGAGCATATTCCAGTCTGAATCTACCCTGCCTACTTTTTATAAGGTATTCATTGAGACAAGTTGTAGATATGAGTTTTACAACATAGTGGACCAAACTTTTCTTAATCAGTGAAAGTCCTAACCTCTTGATCTTTCCTGCTTAAGGCTTGGTATCTAACAGTTTTCTTTTCAGTATCAAACTTACACTTAAAGATTCTATTGGGTCTCTCTGACATTGGTGCCCAGATAAGCACAGGAGAGAGGCTTGTTCCTGAAATCAACACTTTATATGTCAGTGTCCTTCAGCTTCTGTAGCAGACGTTTAACTCTTGCTGGGACAGCTTTGATTGTGTGTGTGTGTGTGTGTGTGTGTGTGTGTAAAAGAGATTAGACTTGTAATGTTTGGGTCTTACCTGCTTCAAAATCAAAACTATTTTTTCTTTATGGGGGGGGGCATATTATTAAAAAGACAGATGGTGACGGAGACTAACATTTTAAGTACAATTGACTCCCAGTCAACATTTGAGGAATTATGTTGAGCCACTTGTCACAATACATTCTCCTCACTTTTACTTATCTTAGGATGTATGCCAAATTGTACCTGTGGGATTCTGCCACATACTTTACATGTGACTTTAAAATGCTGATGTTACAGTCAAATGTTGGCTCTTCAGAATATATTGCTGTGTTCTGTGGGAGTGAAAAGCTAAGAGATTCCTATTTTTGGGTAGGGATGTCAGTAGTTTAACAGAACAAGGATGGAGAAGCTTAAACAGCTCCACTGGTGTCTGACCTGCTGCTGATAGCATAAACCTAGTGGTTCTCAACCTTTTGGGGCTTGAGGCACCCCTCTAACTTTTGAGAACTGAATGGTACCCAGTTTCAAAAACGAATGCTTATACTACAGTGCATATCTCCTTGCAGAGGGGCCAGGCTGTAAGGGTTGGGGAATTAGCCAGGCAGGGATAAGCTTGAGCCTGCATCTATCTCCTCATCCTTTGTTGCACCCTTCAAAGAATCTGACATCACCCTAGTTGAGAATCACTGCACTAAGCATTTGCAGCATTTACACAACATGATTATGTGCCTGAAAAGCCCTGGCTCCTAGTTGTTAGTGAGAGGTAGTTACACATGTTAGTCTGAAGTCAGGGTAAGATTTGCGCCTTCATAGGTTAAATCAGAGATATATAGCATGATCTTTAGTAAGCAGAAGGCTCACTTCATCAGATGCTGGGCACATCTACATGTGCAGTTAATGTGACTGAATATACCCCAGCTCAGTTTGAGCCAAAGTAAACTAATCCCAATGTCACTGTCTACACATGTTTAAATGCAGTAATTTATTGCGTTATATCGGATGGGACTATCCAGCAGTGCAGTAAATTAGTCTGCCGCACCCTAGTTGCCATGCGAATGTAGATGGTGACACTTTACTGCACAGCTAATTTGTCTGCTGCACAGTAAAGCATTGTGTAGCATTGTGGCTGCTGTGAAGGGACTGCAGGAAGCAGATTTTCTTAAGTAGAAAGCAGTGATTAGAATGCAAAGGATAAGGAAAAAGGAGGGGGCACTGATGAAAAGAGCAGGCTCTTTTGTCTTGCTACAGTAGCAACCCCAAGACAAGGACAACATATTGGTTTGGTTGTCACCTACAGTCCCCAGCTTAGACACATCATTAATGACCTCTGGCCTTTCCTGGAAAATGATGACCATCTCAAAACAGCCTTGGGGGACAAATCTGTCTTGGCAAATGACATCTCTCCAGCAACAGGCAACCTAACTGCTAGTCTCATCAAAGCTCCTGACCTTGCTAGAGACCCAAATGCATGTTGTGCTGCCGCATCAACAAAGACCTCATCATCTCTGGACCAAACAACATGGATTATAACATCCAAGGTTCATTTCCCTGCACCTCTACCAATGTCATGTATGCCATCCCCTGCTTACAGTTCCCCACTGCTGTCTACATTAGACAGATGGGACAATCTCTGTATAATGGACACTGATC